CCTCTCTGCCACCTCCATCTACAGACATCACCACCAAGCGACTGAAGCGCTGATCAAACGGGAGAGCCTGGCTGAAGGGCAACCAGCCAGCCTTTGGTGAGAAGCATCTAAGTTTGTAAGGTCACTGAAAGTGTTAAGATCAGCTTAGAATGCGTTTTGCTTTTATTTCATTTCCAGATCCAACTTGTTATGCTTTGATTTATAATCTCTTAAAATTTAACTTTGTAGTTAATACATCTGTTTGTTTATTCTACCGGAAGCAATGCATTTGGTTTGAAGCATGCTAGAGACTCCCCTTGGGATAACAAGCCTGGTACATATCAATTTCTTTTGTTAAATTGACAAACTCATATAAGCTTGCAGCATCCAGAAAGCATAACTGGGCACTGCAAGGCAGAGGTTCCTAGGGTTGTGTCTGGGGCAGAAGATATTGGCTAGTGTCATTCGGCTGCACAATCCAAGGAGCAGCTTACATTCCAGAGGCTGTGCGTGAACAGCCCAGGAGTGGGGGTTCTCACAGCAGAGCAGGGTATGGCTGGCTCCCAGAGTCAAGGATTGGAGTGACCTAGCAGATCACCGGTCCAGATAACACCACAGAGGAACATCAGAGCATGATTCTTCCCTTCTTATCCCCTGAGTTAAGCTCAGCTATTTGGCTTGGTGCAAAGGAAAAATTTGGGCCTTGATGAAGGTCACCCACAGGCCTATAAACCTAAGTTGTTGATATGAATGGTAATGTAAAAGCGGTGCCTTTCAGGGCATGGGAGAAAAATTCTGGAAATATATATTGTCAGTGAGTAGAGTCTTAATTAGCCATCCTACACCAAAACCATTGAATACTGTCAGGAGCATGTTTCATAGCTCTCAGATATCTATGGAGAAGTTATTGTACATAAACACCTCCGAGAACAGTTTTTGTGGATCTGAGTGATGAAAATCAGTGGAATCGCCAAAGAATTTAAGAGTCTGAGGGGGAAGTTAATAAGGAAAAGTCATTTCAATTAAATGAGAATCCTGCTTCGGAAATTGAGATGCTGCCCTTTGAGCATTCTCAATCTTGAACGCAGACTTGGCTACTACCGATCCAGGTTCTGAGAAGAGAAGAGGTGCAGTGAGCTGTCAGGGAGGCAGAGTAACATGAGTTATGGTAGGGTACGTCTTTCTTTTGAAATTATTTCTGAATTCAGCTAGTATGAAGTGCATTTTAAGCACTTTCTAATTCTCTGCATCTTCTCTCTGCTGTCAGTTAAAATAAAGCTATTTTTTTCTTTTGTCTGGATTGAATTTGACTTTCTCTTCACTTAGACTTAAGGTCAGTCCATTAGTCCACACTACACTGTAATGCAATATACTGATAACAATAATTAAAACGATACTTGCCTCTACTATCAGATTTGAGGATCTCAAAGCACTCTACAAGCATAAGTTTAGCTTCAAATGAACCCCATTGGGGTAGTTAAGTAATATCTCCTTTTCTACAAAAGGAGAAACTGATGCATTAGACATTCTTAGTTGCCATAGTTCACACAGCAACACAGTGACAGAGCCAGACATAGAAGTCAAGTCTCCTCACTGAATGCCAATAACAGAGATACCCTCAAGGCAAAATACAAATGTATGAGAAGTATTTCAAACTTGACAGCATGAAGATATTGCATATTTCCTGCAAATGTGTTACTCCAATGTACCAGATGAAAATGGCCCTGAGTGTGAAAGGGGTGCCCTACAAAAGGAAACTGATGAAGAATAGTCAGAATATACGGTATAAGGCCTTGTAACTATGTTACTATAATCAGGTAGTTTTAATTGGTTAATAAGTACCTCACAAACCATTTCTAGTGTATCTTTCAGACACTTTCCTTGTGTTTTCCTTTACATCCCTAGCCCTTCTTAAGCATTGTTAAACGATTGATAAAAAGAAAACAAGCATCAGCCAACAGTCTTGTCAAGCATTTTTAAGTAGATTATTTTGATGACTATCTTGGTTAGTTAATTAAGTTAGACAGCATGACAATTTGCCTATATGCAATTTATTAATTTTGAGATTATGAACTCTCTGAATGTTTCATCCCCTATTTTCCTTACTGTATTCTTGCCTCTTACTCCTTGTGCTGAGGAGACAGGGAGAGGCTCTTGAGCACTGTCTCTGAATAGGGTGGTCCTTAAAGACCATCAACATCTGAATAGATCTTGCCTGAACTGAACAATGGGTTGGCTATAGCTAGGTGAAACAAGATTTCTTCAATTTGGCTTCAGAGATCTAGGTTTTGAAGGAGTGAAAAAATACCCCGAAGGGAACAAAGATTTGGAGGTATCAGAGCAGTTGTTTAAAAACACAAACGTTAAGAAGTTAGGGAGGGACTCAGAGGGACTAAAAATGGCAGATTTCCTGATGGAAGGAAACCTTTTTGACTGCTGGAGCTGAAGGGTACTGACTGCAGGGACACCCTTTATTCAGAGAAGCCCTGAGCTGGAATAGAGGGGATGCAGAACCCTGAAATAACACTGATCCATATCTCAAAGAATGCTCAACAGTGGTGAGGAAACTGGGGCAGGGAATGATGTAGCTGGTGTTCATTGTTTTACTTAGATCTGTATATCTCTGTTTAAAATAACAGTGGTGTTTCAGAAGTCCTTGTGCAAAGGCTGTTTGATTGCTTCATATGCCATGTGTCCCTGTTGAGGTAAACTATAAACTAGAGTGCCCCACAAAGTTGGCAGTATGGGGCAGGTATGCTTGAGCTTCTGTGAAGGCATGAAGGGGTTCAGCATTGGTCTTGGGTCCTAAGGCAGCTGGGCTGCAGAGTCCCACTTCCAGAAAGGGTACTAAACAGAGTCTGTGCCAGGAAGTGTGCCAGACAGGCTGCCAACAGAAGCTTAAAGGCACATGGGCCCAACATGCAGATCCACACACTGTTGAGTGTTCCGAAGGGAGTTCTTGACCAGGATGCCTATGACAGCTAGGTTAGCTAGCTGATGTGAAAGGGAAAGGGAATTGTAATAATTCAGACTGCACCATCCCTGCAAATCCTAAAGAATCATAATGCACTGGACTCCAGTAGGATGCCGAGAATGCCACCTACAAATTGCAAAACCCCACCAACGTTAGGGATGGGAGAGTGAGAGGGCTGTATTTTTGCATGATAGTAAGGGTCAACCTATGCCCTATATACCTCCCCAAGAGATCTGTAGCACTCCTACTCTCAAGCCCTTTGCCTTGGGAAAGGATGCAATGGCCATCAATTCCTAGAGAGAGGGGTTCTGGCCAGTCAAGTTCAACTCTAATAACAAAGACCACAGTCTTTGTACAATAAATGCACCTTGAAAATGCATTTCTGTTGTTCTGAGCAAATTGTCTGCCTACAATTCTTAACTAGGGCTGCCAACAGCCCATCTTGGAGTGATCTGGTGCCTACCCCGAGTCTTGGGCACCTGCCTGTCAGACCTATGGTCCTGCAAGATGCTTTCTGCAGGTTGCTCCACAGCAAAACCATCCATAATAGCTTGGACGGTGGTCTAGGGAGTGGGAAATCTTTCCTGACCGCAAACACGGTGATAATTCCCTTTCTGTGTGCAAGAGAAATCCAGTCTGTATCATCACGAGGTCCTGAAACAATAGCTACATAAAACTGGAAGAACAATACTGCTTTTAACACAAATGACTAGGTACCTCTTCCCCCGTCAAGCCCCAATGTCAGGCAGTGAACCCTGTAGACTGTCAGCAAGGGAGTAAGAATCACCCCTGCTCCCACTGAGAGCCCTTGGAATCCATCCCACTGCAGGGGACTGTGCAAGTCCTTGCCTGGATGGTCCTGTTACTTGCCCTTTTGTGATTCCTATTGGCAAACAGCAAGGTCTGTCAGGTCATCAAGAGATCAGTATCCGCACCCTTATAGAGAAACAAAGTGAGGTGAGAAGAAAAGAGGTGTAAGATGAGACCCCTAAGTCAGTCCTTGCATCATACTGAGGGGCATATTAAATTCATTCCTTGATGAGGAGGGATTCACGTCTACCAGAACTAAGGCACCAAATAAAGACACTGTTCCCATAATACTTTTAAAGTAGTAAATGTTACCTGCAACCCAAACGTTGCTGCATGACATCACTAAAATGACCAAAAAGTAGGTGTAAACTAAAGTCAAATAGATGACTTTATTTTCAAATTCCAAGCTGAATGAAGTGCATAAAATAAACAAACATCATAAATAATGAGAGGTACAGTTGACTGACTTTTTAATTTGAAGGTTTTATTAGTAATCTACAGAGATAGGTAGGGAAGTTTGTTTTCCAAATATGACTTTTAACCTGGCATTGTACTAGGAAAAGGTGCTACATTCCTAGCTCTTCGAGTTATGACCTGGTGTGCAATAATAGATTCTGACCTTTGTGTTTCTTGCAAAAAATAAAATGTATTAAGTCAATTTAGAGTGTGTATTACAATCTACCTGCAGAAGAAACTGTGAGGAAGCATGAGATTCTGTAGGAAAATCAACAAGCTATACACTGTATATTTTAATTAGGAAAATATACCTTATATTCTTAATGAGCTAACCACCTTTATAATCACAAAGGTTTGAGTATTTCTGGCTGACAGATCAATGAAAGGAAAGCAATAACATTTCTGTAAACAAAGCATAGCTGTCACATAGAAGGTAAATTGTGTATGAAAGATTTATTATACTGTGTGTTTTCTACAGTTCACTGTAATGTTCAGCAGAACAAAGAAATAACATTGTCCAATTTTTTATATTGAAAACATAATTGAGGAACCTTCTGACAGTCAAATAATGAATGAAACACTTTCACAAAGTATAATGTATTTTAAATGACGTGCTGTTCCAAGGAATGAAGTTTGTGGTATTTTGTGGATGTGTGACTTCTGCTACTTCTAGTTTTGTCATTCTTTAAATAAATGAGCTTTTAATTGCTATCAGACATGATTAGGATATCATTCCAAAGATTACATCCATAAACTTATTCCATTGTTTTTCTCTTTTTAGAGTGTTTTTGAGAGCGATCAACAAATTTGCTGAAACCATGAACCAAAAATTTCTGGAGAATATGGATTTTGAAGTACAGGTATGTACTTAACTACCCTTTTGTGGAGCAAGATTTCCTTAAATAGTGGTTTTTCTCTGAGGAGTGATTATGTACAAATAGCACATAGATGTGCTTTCTGCATGTAGTCATTGTCACATCTGTTTGGTTTAGTAACTAAATACCCGTTCATTATATTTTACTTGTGTTACCTGTGCTGAACTGACACAGTAGGAGAGAGCCGACTGGATTCTGTTTTTTCTTGTGCAATGTCAATGGAATTGGTTAATACATTCCACTCAGCTGCAATTGTGGAAACCTATAAAAGAAAAGAGGACTTCACATATGTGTACTTAGGGACATAGTTCAAAAGGAGATGCGATTACACAAAGGTAACTAAGGGCATAATTTGAAGTGATGCTGCATAGATATAAGGACTGGATCCTACGCTCATTCATATCAACAGCAAAATACCTATTGACTACAATGGTGCAGGCTTAGGCCTCCAGTGAGGAAATAATTTAATCTGAAAATGTTATTGGTGATGATGCATGGGAAGTAAATATAATTCCCAGCATGACTCTCAGATCCCAGACTGAGTTTTCAGGAGTGGTAGTTAGAACATATTTGTCCATGAGAACTGAACATATTTTAAAATTTTGTTCTGCAATCAGGGATCAGAATCAATATTTTGTGACCAATCACACGCCAAAAATAATTAATTGTAAATACTTGAAGTGAACAATTCTTGACCAACAACTAGTGTGAATTGTTCACTGAATTATTGCAAATACTGTGTATATTTGCATCATTGGGACTGATTTATATACAACATGCAAACCTTAAAAAAAGGTAACATTGTTGAGTATTTTGTGACTAGCATTTGTGGCATTTTTCCATTCTATTATTTTTCCAGAATAAGTCATAAATGGTTAAAGTGAGGAAAATATTTTACCCAATGATTAACTATTGCAGTCTTTTTCTTTGCTTTTTTCCCATTCTTGAGAGTTATCAAGATACCTGTAAACAGAAGAACTTTCTACTTAAGTTTTTCTTTAAGTGAATTTAAAGCTTGTGGAAATGTGCCAATATGACATTCGAGCTCCAGAAGTTCACTGCTTATACACACAGCACGCACAATACGGGTACTCAAACTCTCCTGCTCTGCCTCGCCCAATGTGCCTAAGCTCTGATCTAGAGAAACCACCTTAAATGGGAATAAGAGGTTATGTCTGTTTCCGTTTAATCTTTGACCTCTCTAATGAAACTACTACTAAGGAGATTAATTGTGGAGGTGCTTTTGTGGTGGGAGGTTGTTGTTTTTTTGAGCCCATTCTACCTGCTTGAATTGTCCATGAACAGAACTGGCATTATAGTAAGGATATGGTTTGTTAAAGTAGGTCTCAGCCTCACTTGAAGAATCTGGCCACACACATGAAAAAGAAGCAAGCTTCTCTATTTTGACCATCAGTACAGATGGGGAATGGTGTACACACAAAACTGTGACACTTTCCTATCTTGGTATAACATATTTTAGAAGATCCCTCTGCAGCTGTCATTGTTTTTAGATTTAATCTTTGGGGTATTTCCTAGATTTTTCTTTATTGTTTATTCAGCTAATAGTTTGTTCGTTGTGTTCTGGTTTCAGTGCTGCATGTTTTTGCTTTAGTATTTAATTAATCAAGTAACATCAGCAGGCTAATTAATCATAACACAGCATCTGTTTTACAATGAAAAAACTCGGATTTTTACTTTAAAAACTTCCTGTCATTAGTCATTCATTAGTTCGTTGTGCTTTGTGCTGTTTAATACACAACAGTGATAAAAAATCTAAAGCTAAAAATTATTCCCTCCCCACCGTATAGTATCTTTTATCTGAATGTATCAGTATTTGGCTTAACTTTTGTAATTCTTGTTGTAATTTAGGTAAATATTGTATTAATTTTACTGATGAATAAACTGAAGCAAAAAGATATTAGATGACTTGAGCAAAATCACACAGTAAGATCAGTGGTGAAACTGGGAATAGAACAGCTGGATTCCTGGTTCCCAATCCTTAGCTAAAAACTATATGCTATCACCACCTTAATGCAATAGATATACAAATTGGTGTAAAATCAGATACAGAGAATTCGGCAGTTGATTGAAGCCTGACATCAATCAAGTTGGTTATTCCCAAGATTTCAAACAAGTTTTAGTCATATAGTTTTCATTAGCATCAGTGGGAATTGTTATTACTCCTGGGGGAATTCTGTACCAAAAATTTAAAATTCTGCGCACAATATTTTCAAATTCTGCAAAATTCTGCATGTTTTCTTTGTCAAAATAACACAATATAATCACACCAGTTTCAATTATTTTGGTAATTTATTTCAAAATACCTGTCAGCAAGTATGTCTGTAACAATACAGACAAAAAAAATAAGATTCAGAAAATGAATTTTGACAAGTAGATTCCTTACTAAGCATATTAATACAGAACCCTGAGTAGTAATTCATTTAAACTACAATACAGAACCATATTTCCTGCACCCCCCAGAAGCAGTGCAAAGGCTGGGGGGAAGTCCGGGAGGAGCTGAGGGAGATGGAAATAATTACTGGGAAGGATCCTGGTGTGAATTTGGAGGGTTGTTCCAAGTATGGGTGGGAAAAATATGGAACAGGGTTTTTTGCGAGGCAGGGAGGGACTGTTAAGGAGCTTCACCCATGCAGACCCTAGCTGACCCCTAGCCTCTCCCATTCAGTCAGGTACATGTGTTCCTCCACCTCCACTCAGACACCCACTCCCCCCCATCCCCATGTGCCTCTGTGCCCCCACTCACACACCCTCTCTCCCTATGTAGCTCTGCACTCCCCCCATCACCATGTGGCCCTGCACCTCCCTTCCCCCTATGGACCTGTGTCTCCACTCCTATTCAGACCTTGCCCCAGTCTGTCCTCCCTCACTAGCCCTTATGAGCCCCTGTCTGACACACACCCCCAGCACCCCACGCTGTCTGTCTCTCCATAGCCCCTGTCTCCTGACCTGGACTGCTGTGAAGAAGATTCTGCAGGCTCTTTCTCTTCCTCTGGTGGGTAAAAGGCAGAACTACAGCAACTTTTCAGTAGAAGCTTTTTCTTCACAAAAACATTAAAACTATGCACGGCTTGTTAATTATGCCTGCAGCAGAATTCCCCCAGTTTCTCTATAAAAACACAGGGGGGAGGGGAATGTTTTACAGTAAATAGGGAATTAAACAAAACTCAATAATGGGAAATACATAGATATTACTTTGAAAATTTACTTTTACATTTTTCCGGCTTTTTAAAGAAAGAGAGTTTGAGTAAAATAAAGTTTGGGTGTTACCAAATTAGGCACGGGTGATACTATACAATAGCAACACACTTCTGCATCAAAAATGTGAATGCACTTACTGTATATATAAAAAGGAAGTCGTAAAATCTGCCAAAAATGTTGCTGATAGATAATGTTCCTTGTGCAGTATTTTGGGATGGGAATGAATAGGCGGAAGAGGTTTGTAAATAGCATAACTTTTGGTATTTATAAACCAGTCAGCCACAGATTGGTGGCATTATGAGTAATTTTGGATAGTATTGTCACAGTTTCAGGGTTAACTGCACCTTTGACCTTCCCTCACACCCCAACACCAGCCAGCTCTTCCTTGAGTGCACCCACTTAAGGTTTCAGGCTTCATAGCCATCACCTCTCTCAGGTGGAGACCCGTGTCTCCCTCCCTCCAGACCAGGAGTTTAGCCTTTCAGTCACTCTGCTCCTCCGTGTGATTTTCCTAGCAGGTCTGACCAAGGTCCAGCACCTGTGGTTAACCTTCTGCCAGGGGTTGCAATAGTGTATACCAGTTACCGACCAGCCTTCATAAAGCCAAATACATTTATTCTTAGGGCAAAAGCATTAGAGAGAAAACATATATTTAATAAAGTTCCTACATACTTACTAATAGCTTACCAGGGATCACTGTCAACTGCAGCATAGGAGGTAGGTGTCAATCTTTCAAATCTTTCAACTGGGTTTAATCTCCTGGTTACCAGTTCATATTGGGTTTCAGATCAAGAACCAGAGCCACATTGGGACAGTTCAGCCATTTCTTTACATGGGTTGGGGTCTTTGACCTCTGCGTTCCTGTAACAGATCAATGGCCCTCTCAGAAAGGGGTGTGTGTGTGTGTGTTAGTGCATAACCAGTGTTATGGGATTTACATTAATCATCCCCTAATCTTTTTCCAGATTCCACAGGAAACCCATCCCTAGGAACACACAAATACAAATCACCTGTATTGATACAAAAGGCCATTCTATAGCTCATACTGACTGGTCCATCTCAACGTAATGGGTTTCAGAGGTTTTCATGCTTTGAGCATAATATAGAATGTGGTCCCGAAAGATGCTGCATGTGATTGCAATATGTCACAAGTACATTTTAGTTAGCAGTTCAAATTATGGCATGATCTTCAGAGATACAGAAAATATTCTGATCTTTATAAATGCTGTTGTTGACTTAACATGTTTGATACAATTTTTTTAGCAAGTTGCATTGAGGTATATTTTATAAATGATGCTCAGCTGTTGCAATGAGTTATGAATAAGTAATAGGATTTGTGCTTCAATCTCTAACCCACCCCCTTTGAGAGTTTGAGTGGCGGAGTTACATAATGGAAAGACTAAAAACAAATAAAAATATAAAAGTTAAACCTTTGTGGTTTTGAGAAACAAAATGTATTCCTATTCTGAAAAAAACCTATCCCTGTTTGTTCAAGGGTCAGAGATTTAGTACTCGGTAGCTCCTCTGCAAAGCAGTCTCTTGTATCAGATGTGTGTGTCTTGGCAATTTCTGGTTTCAAAGAGAAAGGGATGAATAAAGTTCCAATTGAAGTATACAGGATTGAACATGTGCAGTGTGATTAGATTAGGAATATTGGGAGCCAGTATAAAAGCAGCTAATGTAATATCCTTAATAGAGCATTATTAAAATTACCCAGATGTAATAAGTTCAGTAGAGAAAATAGAAGATTGCATGTGTGTGTGAAG